TCTCTTTCTCTAAGAGTTAACTCACTGGCGGGAAGCAGGGCCCAGCCACCCGACATGCCGAATATGAAAAACAAAAACAAAAATGGCAAATTTAATGGGGGGAGGGGGGGAACAAAACTTGGCCCTCGCACCCCTAGGGCGAGGTCCCACTAGCAAAGAGGATTGGATTGAACGCCTGAATCTGGCCGAGTTTGTGGACAAGTGCAAAACATAGAGATGAACTCCTTTTCTGCATCTCTTCCTAAAACACGCCTAGATTCAGGATCTTAATCCAATTCCCTTTGCTAGTGGGACCGTGTGTGAAAAAGGCAAAAATATGGCGGGCGAGGGGGGAGAAAAAGGAAAAGAAAAAACTTGGCCCTCCCAGGCTCCCAGCCCTTTTGTTGTTTTTTCTTGGCCCACCTACTGGTCCATGCAGGAACTGGGTGCTGATTTTTTTTTTTTCTCCCTGAAAACATCTGTCTGTGACCAATTATTGGAGGTGATAAGAGCGTCCCCCAATGATAGGCCTCCTGATTAGACGGCTCCAATCTATTGGTGGGGAGCTGCCGCTGCTGGGAACCGGATCCAGCGTCCCACTTACAACAAGCAATGCATGAAAAAAAGTTGACATTTCGTGAAACTGGACTAGATTCAAAAACTTCACGAGTGTTTTGTTTTGTTTTTATTAGTTTTTAAACCACCAGTACTTGGCTCATACATTGGCCACGGGGCCTTCCCGCGACTCTCGGAGGCCGGTGGCGCAACCTGGGCCGTTGATGCGATTTATCATCGGCCCAGAGGCCGCGAAAGTTGCGGGGAGGGCCCCGTGGCCAAAGTATGGGCCAAGTACTGGTGGTTTAAAAACTAAGGGCCGTTGATGCGATTTATCATCGGCCCAGAGGCCGCGAAAGTTGCGGGGAGGGCCCCGTGGCCGAAGTATGGGCCAAGTACTGGTGGTTTAAAAACTAAGGGTCTCGTTAGACACTCCTGAAAGTGCCTGTTTTTAGGATTGCGACTTGGTTGCTCGCAATCCTAAATCCAATTTTGAGATTGAAAATGTGAAAACGGCATTAGGACAAGTCCTAAAGGATTTAGGATTCCCCAGGCAAAATCGTCCTAAATTTTCTAGTAGCCCCCGACCTACTGAAAAATTTAGGATTCCCGCATTTGACGGACTCGTTGCATCGCGCGCATGGCACCGTCGACACGGAGTTGCTGGTGCAGAAGCGGTCCGTCGGGTCAGTGGTCGGACATCGGAGGTTTTCTGCGGGTCGACGGGGGCAACGGCCACGAACGGTAGCCATTGGCGGGGGTGGAGCACGGGGGGCCCAGCAGGGGCGGGCGGGCGTCCCTAGTGGACCGTTGGCTAGGTTGCGGGAAACGGAGGAGGAGGACGACGTGCGCATGACGACATACCGAGGCGCTTCGGACAGTGTGTGGACGCCAACGGTCGATTTTTGAATCAAAGGCGTCCAAGTTTGTCGTTTTCCCTGGTGGTTGTCGGCATATGAAGGTCCAGCGGCCCTATCCACCGGCATGTGGGAAGACAGTTCTGCAGTAGTCGCGTGGACGGGTGCCTTCCAAGGTGAAATTGATGGCAGACGAGCAGAGGAGATTGCCTATGCTGGTACTTGTTATCGTCGTCTTCCTGATTGTTGTCTTCCTCCACGTGTGTTTGTCGTGCCGGCCGTGGAAGCAACGTCGCAAGCGGAGGGCGTCAATGAAATGGGCAGCAGGGGAACGTCTAATGGCGAGCATACAGGCACGCGTAGAACTAGCCGCAGGTCAGGGCGGAAGAGGACCTGCGTCGGCGGCGCCAGGACGGCGGTACGACCCGTCCTTGTACAGCCATCTAGAGTTGTGGGAGACGCCACTGCCCCCGTCAAACGAGGAGGCGGAGACGGAAGACCTTCCAACGTTGCCTCTCGGTAGCAGCTCGACACAGATGCTGTCCCAGACGGTGCGAGCACACGGGTCAGCTAGCAACGAAGGACCTCCGAAGGTGGCGAGTTCGCCTCCCTCCTGCAACAAGGCTTGGAAGACGACGACGACGGAGGAGTCGATTTGAGGTTCGGGTTGTCTTACGGCAGCGCGAGGGAGGAGACCCGTACGTTCATCATTGACGTCGATCCTTCGCCACGTAGCCTTCAACCTGCTGGAAGTCAGCATACCGAGCAGCCGACACTTCGTGACGGTGCATCCGTGACTGCAGGTGTCGGGCCGTCACTGCCAGCCCAGCAGCATGGATGGACCGCGCTGCCCGCCGAACGAATGACAAGTACCTGCCCTGCACGTAGTGGAGTTGCAGCAGGGTTCACGCGCATCTGCGGTGGACAGTCGTCGATGTCGAACCGCACAACGCCAACCCAACCCGACGTGAGGGACGGGCCCGCTTGCAGATCACCGGTGCATCCAGGACCCAATGTGGAGAACATCACACGAGGAGTGTCCAACATGAGGGCACACAGCGATGGTGGCGACGACGACGCCGATGGCAGTGACGATGCCGATGCAGAGTTCAGGGAGGACGCGGATGCATGGGACGTCGTCGACGACGACATTCATATTTGGCCTTTGGGGAAGACGGTTGGGAGGGGAAAAGGACGCAGCAGAGGTGTTGTTCGTGGTCGATCCGTTGGCCGTAGAAGCAGAGGAGGCGTAAGCGACGACGGTGGGAAGTTTGCGACGTACAGGTCTACGGACGACCAACTACTCATGGTGAGATGCAAGCGGGAGCAAGACATGCACCTCGCCGGGTCGGGTCACAATTACGGGCGGATGCGGACGACGGAGTGGAAGTGGGACGACATCGCCAAGCGGATGGCGAAGGCGGGGAGGCCTAGAGACGCCGACGACTGCATGCAGAAGTGGGACAATCTGTTCCAAACTACAAGAAGATACAAAGGTTTCATAATGCCTGTGGCGGGGCAGACTTCTTCAGGCTATCAAATGAAGAAAGGAAGGAGAACAACTTCAAGTTCCGAATGGACAGGGTGTTGTACAACAAGATTCACGGAGGCATGTTGGGGAACCACACAATTTTCCTCCCAACGTCGCCGACACTGGCAGTCCGGACGGGGTGCAGCTGCCCAGGTGAGGAGCGGTTGGTGGGGAGTCTATTGGTGGTGAGGCTGGCGGTGATGACTGCCCTGAAGAACGTTCTTCGGCGAGGGACTTCGACAGCAACGCAGGCAGTGGGGGTGCAGGCGGGAATCGGAATAATGCACATCAACAGGCGTTGGGGTCGATCGCTGATGTCATGGACCGCCATGGCGAACTGATGTCGCCGACGATCGATTCGTCTAGCAAGCGACAATGCAGCATTTTGACGAGGCAATGCGACATACTCGAGCAGGAAGTTGTTGTTCAAAAAACTCATTACGCGGTGTTCGATGAAACGCAGAGAATGATGTGTCACGCACTTATGGAGATTGTTGTCGCCATCCATGGTCGGTCGACAATGTAGGTCGTTCGATCGAGTGTTGATTGAAGTTCACTCCTTGCGTTTGTAGTTCACATTCTTTGTTTCTCTTATTTCCTTGATGAATTCTTCTTATGATGAGCACGCTAGTAGACCATACGCTGATGGCGTGTCCACGAGATGGGTCGGGCAGGGAAATCAGTGCGATTGATCAGTCGCCCGCGCTGCATATGCCGACATTCGTGGCATGAAGTTATTTGCATGGACGACCGTCATGATGACGCCTCGATGACGATGCTGCTGCTTTGAACGTAGAAACGTCGACGATGCCGAAGAAAAGCAACTCCTGATGATGCCGCCATGCGGAGAGTGGTTTTGCGATGTGTGGCGACTGTGGCAGGCGTCCGGGAAACACAATTTGGGAACGACGAGGACGGTCGGGATGCAGTCCGGTGCACGACATGGCACGGTGGCGACAACGATGATGAAGGCGTACGTCAGCGGGGATGAAACGCAAACGATGATGTCGCCGACGCTAACGATTATGATAATGATGATGATGATGATGATGATGATGATGATGATGATGATGATGATGACGACGATGCTAATAGTGATGATGATGATGATGATGATGATGACGTTGATAATGATGATGAAGACGGTGATGATGATGATGACAAACACGACGATGATGATGATGATGATGATGATGATGATGATGATGATGGTGATGATGACGATGATGATGATGATGATGATGAGGATAATGACGATGATGATGATGATGATGATGATGATGATGATGATAATGATGATGATGATGATAATGATGGTCATCGCGAGAACGATGGTTAAGCTAACCGCCATGATTACGACAATGATGACGAGGCAGTCAATCCATGATGACGTCGTTCACGTGGCAACAATACCGCCACAGGTAGAGGTCATGCTCTCGCCTGCCATAACTTTGCACAAGCGGTCTTTGTTCTCTTATTAGTTTTTCTTGCGAGTGCGGCAGTGTTCACCGGTGTGAATGTGCTCGACAAGGACCCCCGAATCGTGTCATTGTTAAGTTAGTTTCTGATAAAAAAAAAATTCTTATGTTTTTTTCCCTATCTTTTTCGGGGTAGCTCGAACGGTACATGTTGGGGAAAGTACGAACGGGGGAACGTTTTTACCCGCAGGCATGTTAGTGTCTGTGTTTTCGGATTCTACAACGAAGGGTCGATCTCTTGACGTTGTTTTGCGATGAGTTTGCAAAGCCTGTAATCGCCAAGCAACATTAAACAATTTTGTCATCTCTGGTGTGGGACACAATTGTGATGCATCGCATTGATTTTGCTTCTGTGTTTTTGGTGTTGTTGACATTGACGCGACGACGAAACGAACACAACATGTGAGATTTCGTTTATTGAACATCACTTGATATGAATGCATGCCAATATTTTACATATGAACGTCACACTGTCGAGCGCATCGGTCCGACACCGCACAAAACGGAGCGGGACCCTCCCGGTTGTGTCGCGTAGGAGTTGGTCTGATCCTCGTCGAAAAATACACATGGAGCTTTCGCAAGCCACTCCGGCCAAATGCGCCATCCATACCTATCGCGAGCCCCTACGACAGGATAGAGCCTACGCGAGGCACGACTTACCTCCACCTTACGGGAGTTGTTACCCTCCCTTCGGTGGGCGTATCCCCACCGAGCTACCAGTCCACAGTACGAAAGTTAATCAGCTGCAATCGCAGAGGTGGATCAGTCGATGGCGTTTCTCGTATGCCGTAGCATAGGGGGTACGCGCGGTTTTACACCTCTATCGGACCCGCACGTGAACCGACGCCTTGGGGGGCTGAGGTCCCAAGCGCCATCCGTCGTCGGTCGACTAGGACGTATCCCACACTCACCACGCGTACATCACTTTTAGGAACACAAAAGTTAAAACACACACGCACACGCATATATACGGAACGACACAGGATAAATAACGCGACAGCACTCCTAGTCCCTTAGCCAGCATCCCATAACTCTCCGATGTGAAAAATCGGATGGGCGACGTGTGCGAGACTTGTATAAAACCGCGCGGACATATGACCTTCTCATATCGACTCGCAATGCATGAATACGCATGCAGTCGTGATGATGGCGTACTATGTAGTGCCCATAATCAAGTGGTCCCTCGTGGATCCGAGTACCGCCTATGACACTCAAGTGTCAGACTTGAAGTATCGTGAAGGTTTACCCCTTCACGATATTGCACGGTTGAAGGAACAGTCGTGCGGCCTCCGCGGCACCTCCGGTCTTTAGGCTGAGTGTCCCGGTGGCAAAGCAAATAGTCTCTGCGTGGAGGGTGATCCCTTCCACACGGAGTCTAGGACTTGGGATGTCATGGACATGGACCTCCAATCCAGGCCCAGGACCAACGTCCGACTAAGAACTTTTTAAAAAGCAAACAATCAGTAAAAAGAGAGAATTTTCTTTCCTTTCTCAACCTCGACCCCAATTAAACCCTTAAGTGTGGGCTCCTTAGGCCATGCGAACACCCAAACATAGGTATGTACGTGTACGTATGTAATAGGGAAATAAGTATGTGACGATCACTTCTCACAATCACAGTAGGACTCCTCACAGCCATATATATGTATGTGATCGCAGACAATCAAATCCAGAGTCCGAACCACAGAACAAAGCATGCAATTACATCAAAGAGTCAACCAAAAGTCCACACGCTACACAGAGTAAACTTCAACAATTCTTTATACTCACACCCCTAGCTTTAGCCATGCAAGCCCCAACCTTTGCCCAAACTTCCATAATTAAATGCTGAGTACCTTTGTTAAATGACCATTCAATAAAAGTCCAGGTGAAGACCTTAATAAAACAATAAAATTCACCGGGGCTAAAGCCTTTTTGGATCGAGTAATGAGAGTGGAGTGGAGTTGAGACGTAAACCGACGAATCGACAATCGACCTATAATCAGTGATAACAGAAGATGTTTTTTGTAGGATCAAGCTGGATCTAGGTCAAACCCTGAATCAGTCGATCAATAAGACCTGTAACACAAGACAAGTCAATCCCGAAGCTAAATCCATAAGTGTATGTGAGTACAGCTCCATAACACATTCTCACCCAAGACCCTTCTACTAACTAAGCCTAGGTCTGCCTCTAAGCTAGTACCCAACGCAAGGCAAACCTATGGCAGCATCTCCTCTATTTAGGGTGGATCACCAGAGTCGCCACTTGTCAAAATATAATTTAACTCCTCTAAACCTGCGTAGCACGTCAAACGTGTTCGCGCCCTTCACGTTCGGAGGAACGTGTTCGTGCGAACAGGCTTGCGAACATGTTCGGGCAAACATAATTTTTTTTTCCGTAAAAATATATATATATATACCTCTTCTCCCTCTCTGCCTACGGTTTACCGGGCAGTTCTATTTGACGATATATATATATATATGTCTATTTGACGATATATATATATATATATATATATATATATATATATATATATATATATATATATATATATATATATATTTTTTTTTTTTTTTTTTTTTTTTGAAAGCCCTTGTGCCATCCCTCTATCCCAGCGGTGGTACGAGAACCGCCAGGATTGAGGGCTTGTCAATCG